TGTGTGTGTGTGTGTGTGTGTGTGTGTGTGAGAGAGAGAGAGAGAGAGAGACAGACAGACAGACAGACAGACAGACAGACAGAGACAGAGAGTTAGTTAGTTAGTTAGTTAGTTAGTTAGTTAGTTAGTTAGCTCTAGGCACACTCACAGCAGTTTCCATATGTGTAGTGGAGCAGAGAGAAAGAAAATGACATCCACAAAAATGTATGTAATCAAGTAGGCAATTGGATCATTACTGCAAAACTGCTCAAAGCTCTAGCATTTTTCAAAATTTCTTCTAAGACTGCCCTTATTATCTTTGCTTTTCTTCGGCCAGGGAGAACCTGGAGAATCTGGTCGTCCAGGACAAAAGGTAATATCTCTCTGTCTTAGGTATGTTCTTTGCATCTCTCCATGATCAGTATTTCACATCATTGGCATCTAATATGGAAACATTTATTGTACAGTGGTATAGTTTCCATGCTTTGCACAATGTTACTGGTTGCTTTCCATTTTAAAAGGTCCTGATGCTGGGCATAGCGAAGTATGAAAACAAACTCTGTATATATGTACTCAGCTGTTTGAAACTAACAAATCTCAGCTGAATTGGAATGCCGGCTAGTTGCCTTGCATGCTTAAAGGCAATCTGTATTTTCTGTGTTTTGTGAGAAGAAATAAGTATATACTAAATGATCTCAATGGAGAATGATGGACAGTTCTTTTAAAATATACCTCTACCTCCATTCATTTGCTTGCTAACTTGTATGTGACTCTAACCTGTGTCGTGAACGTTGCCTTATGGAAACTGAATTCATTTAAAGAACTAAATTTTAATTAGCGACTCTAGCCATACCACTTTCACTAACTGATCTGTGGGTACATTAAATTTACCATTTGTGCTTCTTCACTGACTGTTTATACTCGTTTTTCATCTGCGTCTAAGGCAGTAAACAAATGTTGTCCATTTCTCAGCTGAGCACCTGGGTCTCAATGCCCCGTCTAGCCAAACCTCACATAACAGACACTTGCAGTTAACAAGAAAATGTGAATTCCATAGGACAAATTCCTAAAAACCATAGCCTTTGCCCAGTGGTGGCTGATGTTATAGGCAGAATATGAACTAGGACATAGAACATACCTCATTAGCAGAGACAGAAAGATGGTAAATCCTATTGCAGTGGATTGGAACCTAACGTTGAGAGTTTGCTGTATTGTCATTGTTCTTGACGTCATCGAGAGAGCTTTCATTTAAGTACTTGGGATGGAAGTAACTTCTGAGAAGGTTTTTATGTTAACGTTTCTCTAATTTAATGGCAAATATTTTTCTCTGGAAACTGAGAGTCTCGGAGTACTGATTCATCAGCTCCAGGTGAGACAAGAGCCCAGCCCAGCTCTTTAACTCTTCCTGTTCCGATCCATCTCTTGGTCTTCAGGTCCCAAGTTTAACTCCAGACTCCACACAAAGTATTTTAAATAAATGAGTTGTAGTAATCTCCCTCTTCCTCTTCTTCCCAGTTAATCTAGAGCAACATCCCTCACAGCTCTTTGCTGGTAGCAGATGTATACGGCCAGTCATCTAGATAACTATTCAATGTGTTTGGGTGAAATATTTCAAATACCTTTTAGAAAGGAACCTCGGGTGCCACAGTGTTCTTTCTGTGGCTCCTTTCAGTGGTGACAGCTTTCCACAAACATGTCCAGCCTTTCCCCCTCCCCCCATGCTGACTTTTTCTTTGACAAAATCAAACTTGTCAGCATATGTGATTTTTTTCTCTTATAGGATGGGCACTGACAAGGTGAATATCTGAACCTACTAAGTTTTTGGTTCTCCTTCACAGGCTTTATCATGGGCATCATAGCAGGCAACCCTCTCTGACCTTTTAAAAAGAAATATGGAATTACTAATAACAGTGATCCATGCTCTATTTTGAAAAAGCAACTGATCTTCACAGATAATGTAATTTTTGGGTCCTCTGGTCTTTAAAAAATTAAAGATTTGTCTTAAATTGCCCTCTAAATTTGTGATTTTCTCAAAGAAAGACCAGGCTTGGTGGAATGTGACTCTAACCCAGCACTCAGAAAGGTGCAGCCAGAAGACCTGGTATTCAAAACCCACCTGCCTGAGGTAACAAGAGTCTGAGTCAGAGGAAGGGAGGGCGCTGGTGAGATGGCCCAGCGGGTCAAGGTGCTTGCTGCCAACACTGACTGCCTGAGTTTGATCCCAGAACCCACGTGGTAGAAGAAGGAAAATGAATCCTGCAAGTTACACACACACACACACACACACACACACACACACACACACACGAATAAATAAACAGGCAAAGGAGGGATATGCACCTGCAAAGCATCTCTAAAACACAAGCCAAGACAAACCTCAGTAATCTTGTGTAGGCGCCACTGTTTCCACAGAACAAGAACCAAATTGACCTTCAATTGCTTGGCATAATATTGCATTACTATAATTATTTATAAAGATAACTTAGATTCATTCTGGACATTTACAGCTTGCAGGCAGAAACACTGGGTTTTCTTTGCCTTTTATAAAAAAATAGATTTAAATGACATTGAAAGGAGCTTTCATCTAGGCTGATATATGACCTGAAACAAACAGCAGCCTTTTTATCAATATTTAGTTTAGATTCTACCATCTGACACAATCCCGCCTTCCTATGATTGTAGGACTTCCTTGGTCTAACATCAGATGTTTATAATAATTCCCCTAACATTGAAAACAGTATTTCCATGTTTGCTGCTTAGAGTCAAAAATGGCAAACTGACCCAGGTATACAGTCAGTCCTGCATATTATCCATGGTATTTGGGGCACCATTAAAGAGCTATGCTGTGGTGTTCAATAGCACACTAGTTCCCAAATTTAGGGGTGTTCCCAGAAAAGAACAAAATACTTAGCACAAGCCGAGTGATGAGCCTTCCACCTGGGATCATGCACAGTGTTCATCTAGAGTGACATTGTAGTGGAGGATTCATTTCATCACATTTTTTTCTCTTGTAGCTCCAGCAGTAGAGTTACTTGTAGACTTGTCAATTGTGAATTGTGTTTCACCACATAGGTCTTGCCTTCCTAACCTTTCCCCAGCTCTTAAAAGTATACAGTCTAACATTGAGGGAATAAATCACTTGATTCCCCATCAGAAGGGACCCTTGCTAATGAGCTCTGTGGACATCCAGGACACTCTAACAGAGTCCCAAGTGTGAGACTCTCTCAGATTGGAGAATGGAGAGTAAAAAAGGAAAATAATAAAATCAGAAATATAATGTAGCTGTGTACAGTTGACACTCTTGAACAAGAACTCTTTGAATAAAATAACAAGCTGACTCTTAATTATGACTCATGTCTAACACATCAACTGTGCTCCCAAGAGGCTCCTGAGCCATGGCATAGACATGGATAGCCAAGTAACTAAAAACCTTTCTCTTAGTTGGAAGGTAAGCTTTCCATGACAAAAAGATAAGAATTCTGCAGAAAGAAATTTCTTACTAAAAACATGAAGTGTTCCATAAGGCTAATATTAATGCTATTACCATCTCTCGTTATGTTGCTAAGAGCAGGAAGTAAATACAAACTTGTAAAGGTAAGAGTCACAAACATTCAACACTATAAAATATTAATATCTGAAGTATTTGACTAAAATACACATTTACAACCAACTACATGTATACACATATACACACATGATGTTTAGAAAGGCTACTCAAACTTAATATTTCATTATCTTATATGTTACCCTGTAATGTGTTTTACTCATTTTTCTCATTAGAAAACATTGTATGTGTTAATCATGCATATATGTACATATCAATTATTTCATTAAAGTAGCTATGTGGTCCTTTTAAGTTGATAGAGAATGGGGTGGTGAGAATTCTTATTGGAAAATAATACTATAACCTATTTATTTCCACACATGCTTCAGATGTGATACCATTATGAGCTGGGGGAGACTTATTTAAAAACAATCCCAAGTGTTATTAGTTGGGTACTCTTACAGTTCCTGTTTTCAAAGCTTCATATTATTCTTAAGCAAAAGTTTGCTTTCAGTAAAATAAGTATAAAAACCCTTTCTAGTGGGTCCTCTTAATGTTAATGAATAAAGGGGAAAAGAGAAAACAAAAAAGAAAAGCAATGTATGGTGTTGAAACTCCGTGAAGTTTAATATACCTAGACACCTGGTCTTAGGGTCAAATAATAAGCAAGTTAGAATTCCTTTCTTCTGTAGTTTAATTTCATTGTAGTAGTATTTATAAATGCACACTTCTGCACAGAATGTCTTTTCCTTTGCATTCCTGAAGTACCTTTAACAAGTAGCCAGGGAGCCATTGCCTGCCCATTTTGTCTAATCACTCAGCTTAATAAAATGTCTAAAGGCTTAATATTATAATACCAGAAGAAATTCTATATCTTTGTCATCTGAAAGGGCAGGTGGTGGGGATGGAAGACCCAGTTTTTAGTAGGTTTTCCTTGAGTTAAAGATTATTCAAGGGCCAGCAAAATGGCTCCACACTCAAAGCACTTTGCTCCACAAGATGTATAACCTGAACTGGATCCCCAGAACCCACACAGATGTGGAAAGAGAGAACCAAACCCACAAAGGTGTCCTCTGACCTTCACACATGATCTGTGGTAGGCATGCACACATGCTAGTAATAATAAAATAACAAAATTAAAGATCATGGAAACTTTTAAGCTACAAAACCTGCCTCCCCTCCCCCTCTGTGGAAATGGTTGTCCTCTCCCTGACTGACCATTACAAAACTCTGATTGTTTTACCCTCTGTGACACTTCCACAGATAATAGGCAACACTTCATGGCAAACATATTTTTTCCTGATTCCTTTATTCTTTTGTAGTGGACTTCAAGAGAATTTCTAAGCAATGTAACCTTTTGTGCTTAAAATAACGTAGCCAATTCTGGGAAAATGAGAAGGTTTAGCCTGTCTCCAGTGTGCCTACCCAAAGCGTACTTAATCTCTGACCTGTGTTCGGGAACAGCTGCATGGTACCATTAGTCCAACACTGCTAAGCAGGGTCACCCTAGCCCAGCAATTGTTAGGAATACAGGCTGGACCTAAGTATATTCTTAACCATTTATTTGTCTTCTCATCCTTCAGGAATGAAAAGGAAATCTTACTGTGCTTTTAAGTGAGCATCATGCTTACCGTGCATATTTTCCTGGGGCCATCTGTTCATACGACAGTCTCTTAATTATGTAAGCAGGGAGAGCCCTGGGATAGGACACGTGATTGAGGCAAGCAGCTCCAACAAGTCCTTGGCCACAGGAGTCATAAATGCAGCCTTTCCTCCTGTACTCCCCTCTCACGCCATCTGATAGAGATGCCAGGGGGCAGGGAACTGCAGGGAAAGGGAAGTGTCTAAGAAATCTGCCAAGTGGCCTGCCAGTCCCAGAATGGAGAGTTGACGGAGCTGAGTAATCTCCTCAGACTCACTCCCCCTCCACAGTCTTTTGTATATATTTCTGTTTGCAGAAACTCTTCCCCTGAGACATTTGCCATGTTGTTCTCTGATGCTGTGACTGAGTAAATGTCGCTCTATAATGCATTGTGATTTTCCTACGTAGGGTGAGCCAGGGCTGCCTGGACTGCCTGGACTCCCGGGGATCAAGGTAAATACTCCACTGACCAACTTCACAGAACTGTAGTGATGAGTCACCCATATTGGAGGAAATGGAGAAAACAGTGAATACTGGTCCTTAACTATTCTGAAAGTGTCTCAATTGATTAGTTTGGTTTTGTTTTTAATTGAAATTGCACTCAGGTGTTTAAGGTTGCCCATAGCCATCCAGAGTGTTTATTTCACTGTTGGCTTTTTCATACCCCTTAGATAAAAGTAAATGGCATTTCAAGTGAAATCATGCAAGGTTCTAAAGTCTAGAAAGAATATCTCTTTGCCTTTAACTTTTCACTTAACCTAGGGTCCCATCAAATTTTGACCAGAATTCATCTTCGCACACCGGTAAAGCAGACACTTGGGCAGCCATATATCTACTTCACCGTTCTACAACCCCGCTAAGATGCCATGCCGCCATCTCTGCCAGTCACTCTCAGAAAAACAGAAACCACATTGTTAAAATGTTTTCACCCAACACATGTACCTCCCACATAAACTCTGTATGCATCTTTTCAAATAATTGCTTAAGGTTTAGGATTAAAACATTGTTTTAAGATTTAAAGATCCTTTTCTTTTTCATTTTTCTTTATTAAGAAATTTTCTACTCTCTCTACATACCACCCACAGATCCCACCTCCTCCCTCCTCCCATCCCCCAGCCCTCCCTCCCAAGCCACCCCACATCCCCACATCTCCCAAATCAAGGTCTCCCATGGGGAGTCAGATTCTTAAGCCACAAATATTTGAAAAAATTTCAAGACTTTCCCCATGGCAGCTCCAAGACCTTATGTTCTATTTTCTTAGCTCTAGTTCTTCCTTTAGAATAAACTTCATCTATATCCCAGAAGTGACAAGGTAACAAGTACATCTTCCATTCTAAAATTAATGTTCATACTTGACTTCTGTGTGCCATTTCAAAATGCATTAATTGAAGTCAGTATGATTTTACAAGGATTAAAAGTCCTATGTTGTTTATAACATTAGATAGGTAATCAATACACAATTTAAAAAAATGTCTTCTAGATTGGCACTCAGAAATCCTGGTTCTAGTATTTTGTTTCTAATATTTCTAGATGACTATAAAAAGTTCAGATTGCTTTTACTATATGCTTTGACTCTTTGGTAGACAGTACACCCTGAAAAAATGTCTGCGGCAGAGTCAAAGTCACTTACCTATCTATCACTTGCAGTTTAGCAAGAATGACATCCTAACTCGATGTGAAAGTTCATATTACAGGTTCATTTATGGCAGTTCTTTAGTAACTTCCATGCATAAAAAAATGACATCTTCTCATAAATGACAAGGTCATAAATTTTTAAATGATTTAAGGACATGTTGCTGGGTATTAATTAGAACCTGGTGTCATTACAAATCATAATGAAGACATTTGAGACAAAGGACATTGGAAGGACAGGGAAGTCCCTACAGCAAGAACTCAGGCTTGTCAGGGTGCAGGCTCAGCTCAGGAGAGCCTTGGTGCTCTGAAATCCACTTGTCCCTTCTGCTGGTCTTCAGACACTCTCTTGGTCAAAAGAATAAGAATGGAAGCATTATGTTTCCAAAGTACAATACAGATAAACACACACATAGATATAGAGGCTTTTGATAGCTACTGTATTTGTGACCCTTGTCTTACCACACGGTTATATGTCTACACAGACCTTTGGCCTTTCCCCATGACCTGTTCAGAAGGTCATGAATTCTCAGGTTGGGAGGGTTATTTATAAGTTGCCACCTCTAGTAAGTGCTTACGTTCCCACAGCCTGAGAAGTACTGGAAATACTTTGTGGAGGCGGGGTGGCTCTGATACTGTCCTCCTGGCCTGACTAGTGACTGAACTGAGAAGTGGTCAGGTGACAAAAAATCTTCATAATTCACTAGCGGTGATTCTCTAGGTCATGTCAGTACCACACGTGGGTCACCGTCCGGTGTGGGAGATACATGATGAGCTCTATTTTCAGTTTACTAAGATTTGTCTTCTCACTCTAATTCAGATGAAAGATAAGCATTCCTTACAATATAAGTGCTAAATATCAGCAAATAATCAGTTGGGGAAGACAATTTAGGAGCACATTAAGGTAGTTAGTATTCACTGTATATTCATAAATATAGACTTAAAGTTGTATAATGTTGTGATGTCACTACATTAACTTGAGATGCTCCTTATCAGTTTAATTTGCCTCATTTCTGCTAAGGCAGCAAACTACAGGTCAGTTAATTCTCATTTCATAGTGTAAGTTATTAACCAGGATTTAAAAATTGAAAGGCTTACATGTGACTATAGGACATGTGGTAACAAAAACATCAGTCATGATCTTAGGTCTATGTGTGTGCTTATGCTTTGGAAATATTTCCTGTTGCTACCCATGCCTTCCTTATCTGCCACTCCCACAGAGCGTGTGCACATGCCATCCGTTGTGTCTAAGACACTGAGGAAACCAGTCATTACATACCAGGCAAGCTTTGGTTCACCACCTGTTGCTCTCGGGGAATGGTTGGAAACTTAATGAGCACCCACATGCCTTCCACGGCCCTCAGGAAATGAACCAAGTGTCTAAATGCAGACAGCAGACTCATCTATCTCTCACCTGAGTGTCCCACTCTGAGAAAAGTGCTAATACCGTAGGCATACATAAGGGAAGTCACTGAGCCCCGGAATGACTTCATCTCAAGCTGTTCTTAAGCTTCCTGCAGTATTTGAAAGTCCTCTCGCCATGTGGAAGGCATTTGGAATTCCTATTTCATGCATTCATGGTTCATATAGTGTCAAGATGTTCAGCTGGGAAAATTAAATTATGTACAATGTACCATGCAGAAATTGATCTTCTGGAATAAGATTTGAGCTTAGAAAATTAGTTTTATGAACAAGCTTTCAAAAATGTTGGAGTCCTTTTTGTCCCTCAAGTATCTTAATGGATAATAATCATTGTGCCTACCTTTTCTGATATCAGATAAGAACGTAAGTTTCTAGGTTATTTTTGAAAATCTTAGTCTAGACCCTTATTTTGAAAAATATAAATATATTGTTGACCCATTCTCATGGTTCCATTTCCCTCATAAATAAGAAGTATTGACCAACCACCCTAGAACAAACCAAATCATATCTTTACTAGTCCTGTGACTCAGGGTAAGATTTTTTAATCTCTCTGTAGTTTTCTTTTGAGAACCAGCCGTGACCATACCACAAAGTTCTGTTGTGAGAATGAAATGAATGAATGTATTCATAGCTCTTGAAATCTCACCCAGCACATAGCAAATGGCTATTGTTGCTGTTTCTCTTGGGATAGCTCAGAATATTGAGAACATTACTTATGCACCAGTTCAATGGAGTCTTTCCTCATGTAAATAATTTTAACCTGTAGAAAATACACATTTAGCTGTGCTTTACATAGATAAAAATGATGGATCCCCTTTAAAGGCATGAAGGAATAAAACCTTTAAAAGCAATAAGATTGCCCTATTTCCTAAGTGTATTCCAGGAGAAAAGACAAGAGTGCACAATTACTTAAGGATGAGAGAAGTCATGTGAACATTCTTCTTCCTGACTGTTCACAGGAAAAGCAAAAGGGTAGCTTGACACATCCCATAATGATGTTTGTTTTTCCAAGCCTGGGTTACCTCACCCAGAATTATTGTTTCTAGATCCATCCGTTTACCTGAGAATTTCATAATTTTGTTTTTCTTAATGGCTGGATAATTTTCCACTGTGCAGATGTACCACATTTTTGTTATCCATTATCTGTTGATGGACATCTAGACTGTTTCCAATTCCTGGTTATTGTGAATGGAGCAGCAGTGAACATGGATGAACAGGTGTCTCCCTAGTGGAATATAGAGTCCTTTGGATAAATGCCTAAGAGTGGTATAGTTGGATCATGCAGTAATGTTACTTTCAGCTTTTTGAGGAGTCTGCACACTGATTTCCACAGTGGCTGCACCAGTTTGCATTCCCACCAGCAGTGAATAAGTGTTTCCCATTCCCTCTATCCATGCCAGTATTTATTCTTTATTTTCTTTTCATCTTGGCCATTCTGACTAGGGTAAGATTAAAATCTCAAAGTAGTTTTAATGTATATTTCTATAACATATCTAAGGATGTTGAACAGTTTTAAATCTAACTCTCAGCCATTTATATTCCTTCTTTTGAGAATTCTGTATAGTTCCATGCCCCATTTTTTAATTGGGTTGTTTGTTTTCTGGATGTTTAGTTTGGTTTTAGTTCTTTGTATGTTCTGGATACTAACCATCTGACAGATGGATAGTGGTCAGGATTTTTCCTCATTCTGTAGGCTGCCTCATCCAAATAGTGGTATCCCTTGCTGGACAGTCATTTTTTTAGTCTCGTGTGGTCCCATGTCAGTTGTTGGTCTTAATGCCTACACCATCAGGATCCTGTTCAGAAATCCCTTTCCTGTGCCTATAAGTTCACATGTATTTCCTACTTTCTGCTCTATCAGATGCAGGGTACCATGTCTTACCCTGAAGTTCTTGATCTATTTGGAGTTCAGTTTTATGAGAATGAGAAATAAGAAGTGAGTCGTCTCCATCTACATGTAGCTATCCAGTTTGAGTGGCAATATTTGCCCATTTGTTGAAGATGCTGTCTCTTTTACAATGTATATTATTGGCCGCTTTATCAAAACAAAAAGCAGGTTACTGTAGGAGTCTGAGTTGATATGTGGGTCCTAAGTTCTATTCCATTAATCAATATGCTTGTTTTGATCCAATACCATGCTGCTTTTATTACTGTAACTCTATAGTAAAACTTAACATCTAGGGTGATGATACTGCAGCAGAAATGTTTAATTATTCAGAATTATTTTCTTCTATCCTGGGTCTTTTATATTTCCATATGAAATTTAAGATTTTTTTCAGTATCTGTAAAGAATTGCATTGGAATTTTGATGTGTATTTCATTAAATCTGTAGATTGCTTTTTGTAGGATGGCCATTTGGATGATATTAATCCTACCAGTCCATGAGCATGGAAGGTCTT